TATGTCATCAAATTGACCTGGAGTTTCGGTCTAGATTTAATTTGCACGTGAAACAAAGAAATTAATCATTCTTTTTATTCGCGTTCTTATGTCTGCCTTTCCCTATTTCAAGTAATCGTGACTTTTTTAATATTTTAATTTAATTCGTATCTTTTTATTATCTTTTATTACCATACATATATATCGTTTACATTGCTATTTTTTAAATAATAGTTTTTCAATATTTGCTATTATCATTATGCATATTTCGATTATTTTGTAATTAATATTTTCCGTTTCAAGTAATCGTGACTTTTTTAATATTTTAATTTAATTTATATCTTTTTATTATCTTTTATTACCATACATATATATCGTTTACATTGCTATTTTTTAAATAATAGTTTTTCAATATTTGCTATTATCATTATGCATATTTCGATTATTTTGTAATTAATATTTTCCGTTTCAAGTAATCGTGACCTTTTTAATATTTTAATTTAATTCATATATTTTTCTTATCTTTTATTACCATGCATATATATTGTTTACATCGCTATTTTTTAAATAATAGTTTTTCAATATTTGCTATTATCATTATGTATATTTCGATTATTTTGTAATTAATATTTTCCGTTTCAAGTAATCGTGACTTTTTTAATATTTTAATTTCATTTATATCTTTTTATTATCTTTTATTACCATGCATATATATCGTTTACATTGCTATTTTTTAAATAATGGTTTTTCAATATTTGCTGTTATTATTATGCATATTTCGATTATTTTGTAATTAATATTTTCCGTTTCAAGTAATCGTGACTTTTTTAATATTTTAATTTAATTTATATCCTTTTAATGTCTTTTATTACTATACTTATATATGGTTTACATCGTTATTTTTTAAATAATACTTTTCCCATATTTGCTATTATTATTATGCATATTTCGTTTAGTTTGTAATTAATATTTCCCGTTTTAAGCAATCGTGACTTTTTTAATATCCTCATTTAATTTATATCTTTTTAATATTTTTTATTACCATATATATACATATATTGTTTACATCGTTATTCTTTAAATATTACTTTTTCCTTATTTTCTATTATTACTATGCATATTTCGTTTATTTTGTAATAAATACTTATTTAATTATTACTTATTTG